CTTTACAGAAAAAGTTTGCAACCCCTGCTGTAGGAGAAAGATGGAAGTGGAGGATGAGGTATAAGGAAATAGATTGGGATTAGCCTTTGGGGAAGATGAGGTAAGTGTTCTCGTGTCTTCTTAGCCACCCCTCTGAGAAACTGTATAATGGGTTTATCAGAATGCTAGTTATTTTCCTTAGAGGAAAATAAAAAGAGTGCTGAAAATTTATTGGAATTTCAGGGGGCTCCTCTCTGTGAGATAACTAGTTTGAAGTGGAGATAAGACTACATTTTTCAGTGGGCTGTCCTGGGTCACTCTTGGGGAACACAGGGATTCAAAGGTAGTAGCACACAGGCATGGAGGTTCTGAGGGAGGAGGGAGTTGATGATAGAATAAACAAGATGGTGACAGAATGTTGTGTGGGAATGGTCTTAGGGGAATCCTTGTTCTTCCTCATCAAATTTCCCTAAAGGGGAAGAAGAAACTTCTGCTCATTTTTCCAAGAAGGAGTTATATTACAGCGATCACTTTAGATCTCTTTCTCTACTTGTGGCTGGGGAACTCCTTTACCAGTGGCTAGGGTTACTGTGCTTTCAAAACAAGATTCAAGTTCAGTTGTGGCTTTCTTTTCCCTTCTTGCCATGCCTGTCTCATGGATCACTGAAGAGCAGTGGGCTTTCCTCTGCTTCCTACCCCAAGAAGGTGAGCATATTTGGATTAGGACCTATCTCAGCAGGTTTTCCAAAGTCAGTCTAGAAATCTATCATTCTCTCCAGTCCTCTGATTCAATTTGTGAGACAACCTTTTGTTTGTCTGGGTATATGAAGTCATATTTGCAATCTAACTTTCTCCACAGACAAATCTCAGGGGGCACATTTACAGAGAACTAATTCCTAGTCTCGCTTTCAGTCTAGTTTTAGTAGTGATCCCTGTACTTTGTGGAATATTAGATACTGACCCAGTAGAAAGTGGATGACTGACATTCCATGGGTTTCAACACTCATGACCATAAATTCAGAATGACTGCAAACATTATGATATGTTGGCCAGTTGGTTTTGCTTAGGAAGATGATAAGGGGCAGTTTGTGCTAAGTAGGCACAGGAGACAAACTTAAATGGAATGTAGTATGCAAGAAATCGGCTTCTGTTCAGATGTCTAGTATCTTCATACTCTGTAACCTGGAATTTGTTGACTTCTGTCCCACAGCCCATCATAATAGACTCAGATATGGAGAGTAACTTCAGAGCTCAAGATGGAGAAAGTAGGTATTTTCCAATCCCGCTCCCTTAAATCACAGGGTTACCTTATCTTAGCTCAGTTTAGTTTATGTTATTAGGACATCATCTTTTCCTCTTCATCACTGTGAACAGACCTTGGCATATAGTTCTAAGACTGATCTGGATCATGTTCCTTCATTTTATTTCCAGTCTGTGTGTGTGTGTGTGTGTGTGTGAGTGTGTATACAAACATTATATATGCTTTGTCTTTTGCTCTACCTCCCCTTTCTAGTTTCAATCTCTAGTCCCTTCTTTTATTAATAAGCCTCAAGAGGAGTGACTTGCAATATGTACAGTGGAGCAGTAATTCTCAGCTTGCCAGAAAAGTATACAGAATTAGATCTGTGTATATTAGAATTTAGAATAAGGGATTCAGAGGTTCTGCAGGAATTATATTATCTACCTCATAGGATACATATCATGTACCTCTAGGAAATATAATGCATATTATGTTATCATGTACCAGGAATGATACTAGATTCTTTACTTTGTCTCATTTAATCCTGCCTGGTATGTGTGCATGTGTATTAAACCTAACTACAATAATATATATATACAAGGACATATATACTAAATATATAAATTTATAAAACAAGTGTGTGTGTATATGTACACACACAGTATGGTATGTCATATATATCATATATAAAATGAGAACAAGAGTCTAGTATCATTCCTGGTGCATAATATGCATTTACTACTACTGTCAATACTGTCCATTGAGAATAGTAAAGACAGATTTTTATGAAAAAAAGATTCAATTAAAAAAACTGGAGAATAGTATGTTTTTATTTTTGTAATTAAAAACAGAATAGAAATTGATCTCAAATCTATCCCTATACTTGATTTCTAGCTTCAATTATGCATATAGCTTAATGGACTAAGATCACATTTTATCATATGCATAGAAGGTTAGGTCTGTAAAGGCCAGTGTTGACCATGATATACAGCTTCTTAATTTTACATATGTGTAAACTGAGATCTAGCTTGTCCAATTGGTTCCCAAGATTTCTGGCTTTTTCCACTTATATGCAGATACAAAATATCTTGATGAAATCTTGGTATTTAAAAAATATGTTTTTTTCCTCTTCAGATTTTTGGAAGAAATGATTTCACTTTTAATTTGCACGTGTTTCCATGCCTCCAAACGCTCTGTCCTCTTTGACAAGAAGCTATTATGTAACTAAAAACAAGGCATTCAGAGTTGCAAAATTAGCCTTGAGTGCCTGGAACTGTGGGACTGATTCTTAGAGATAATCAATACTAGTGGCTTTCCCATTAGTAATCAGTAATTATTATCAGGGGTTGGCTCCTGATCAGGAGCCTCCCAATTACGACATCAGCCACAATTAAATGTTACTTGTGAAAACAGGGTGATTTTTAAGCTCTGACCAGTTGACTACTTATGATATATTCCGGGAAAGATGTGAAGAAAGAGTTCCCTATGCCATTTTCAAAATGAATTCAATAGCTCCTTACTTTATTTCTTTAACTGGTCTGCTTGTCTCATTATGTGAGGGATCATACTATTAGCACATACAATATCATCTTATCATTAAAACAGATCCTAAAACAAAAACAAACAGAAAGCCACACTAGCTCAAAATCTCTTTCCGTCAGTAAACCTGCCATAAATAACCATAATTTACCTAATACTTTGAACCCTTCAAATGAAATCTCAGAATATTGAATTCCTTAAAATTGAAAAAAAATATTTCTGTTGTCATTTATCTCTGAATGTGCAGTAAGTTTCCCCCAGTTATTTACTTAAAATCGCTGCCTATAGCAGGCAGCTCTGCATTTGAGTCTTGGTACAGTTACTTTCTAGCTGCATGATATTGGGCTAATCAGGTTGCTCATCTATAATATAAGGAAAAAAAATGGGACCTATCTCATGGAATTGTTATGAAGATGGAGATAACATATGGAAAGCATGTGCCATAGTGTGCCTGGTTCATAGTGACTGCTCATCGAGGTCTGTGATAATTACGGTCAACCCATGGGGGCAGTCAGGTGTACTGGAGGGAGCATGGGCTCTACAGGGGCTCAGTTCTGGGGTCCAATTCCGTCTGCCACTTCCTGGGTGCGGCATCTTGAGAAATTTAATTAACCCTTTGAGCCACTATTTCCTCATTTCCAAAATGGATATACTGTAGTAACAATCCAGATCACCGGGTTGTTGTGAGGAAAGTGCCTAAAACGCTTTCCTCACAACCCATTATCAACAAGTTAACATTTATCAACCATTCCAAGGGCAAGGCTAAGCACAAGGTGTCACAGGAAGTTTCAAGAGAAAATAAACTCCTATTCTCCACCATGGGCAAAGAGAGAATCCAACAAAATCAAGCCAAACATGTACAGTGAATTGCTGATGTATACATGCAAATTAAAAGTGGGTCTCTAATCCATGCCCATTTATATTTTTTCCCAGTATGCACGTGGAGGAATTCTCAATTAGAGCCTTTTCCCTGGTATTTTTAGACGACAGTAGATCTCCAAAGCCCAGCTGAAATATGGGGCTGATTAAAGGCTAGAAAAGCTGGAACAGTCATAAACTGTACAGTGACCAGTGCCACAGAAACTAGGATAAAACAAACCTTTCTAACCAAGGGCAGATCTCCTTAGTCTCGTGGAGGTAACCGGAAGGGCGAGTCGCCGGCCAAGTTGCCCAGGCACCGGCAGAAGCGACTGCAGAAGGGCCCCTTGCCGGCATCACCAGCTTTCCCTCATCCCCGTCATGGAGGATTTTCCTCAAGCTTCGTGACTGACCCCAGGCGTGGCGCCAGCGCCGGCCCGGCTGACGAGGAGTGGAGGCGGTCGGGAGAACTCCAGTCCTCACACGGTTAAACCTCTCCCAAGGAGACTGGAGGAGGGAGGGTCCTCGCCCACGAAAACGAAGATATTATCATCCCCGCGCCCCGCCCCCACCCCGGGACGCCCCCCTCCCCCGCCCCTCGCCCCCCGCCTCCCGCCCAACTCCGGACGGACCCTCAGGCCGCACCTGCACGCGCGTACACGCCCCCAGCGCGCCGGCCGCCTCGCGCGCCAGGCCTCAGAGCCGCCGCGGGCGGACCGGGGCGCCCTCCCGCACGCCCTGCCTCAGCTCCTGCGCCGCCGCCGCCGCCGCCGCCGCCCTCGGCACGCGCCCGCCGCGGCTCGCCCGCACCGCCCTGCCTCAGCGTGGACCACGGCCGCCGGAGCCGCAGCCGCCGCACTCCTCTCCCCCGCGGGCCGCGGACGCCGCTGCCTAACCGCCGAGCCCGCCGGGCGCCGAAGCTGATTAGAGCCCGGGCCGGGGCTTGAGGGTGCGCGGGCCGCCGACGCGGTTGTTCGCTGCGCTCGGGCTCCCGCGAGGACTGTCTCCGCCTCCTCTTCCTGCGACCTCCTCAGTCCTCAGCATCCGCCTCGCGCTCCTCAAAAGCACCCTCTCACGCCCCACCCGCGGGAGCGAGGCCTCGGGAATTCAGGGGAGTGGCTGTGGGGGCGCGTCGCGGCTCCCCACTCGGCCAGCCCCTCTTCCTAGACATGGTCTGGTCCCCATTGTAAACGCTGCGTCCCGGAGAGGAGGAGAGAGTGGTGTTCCCGGCTTGGGGCTGCAGGAATCTCTTCGTGCTGAAGCTCTGGCATTATTTTAGGGTGGGGCGGGGAGGGCCCCGGATTTTGGGGACTGGGGGTGGGCGGGGAGGAGGACCCGGGGTGGGGGGGGGGAACGGACTCTGTGAGGGAGCCGGGGAAAGACTATGGGGAAGGACCAGGAGCTGCTGGAAGCTGCCCGCACTGGAAATGTGGCTCTGGTGGAGAAACTCCTGTCTGGCAGGAAAGGAGGGATCCTGGGCGGCGGATCCGGACCCCTGCCCCTGTCTAATCTGCTAAGGTAAGGACGGGAACCAGCTCTGGCATTGCATACCTCGTTCTGCATTGTGATAGATAGGTCTTCCTCTTCATGGTTAGTGCACCTGGTGGCTGCCAGAGACTCATTCTTAAATTAGGCAAGAAAACAGACTCTGTGTGTGTGTGTGTGTGTGTGTGTGTGTGTGTAGAGAACGCACGAGGTTCCCAGTCGGATTGATGCCTTAGATTCTTTGAGTAATTTGAAAATAGCCTTCCATCAATGCGTCAGTTGCTACTTTTCTCTGAATTGTGGTGCAGAACTTGTACATGTACTAGTGTTGCTGGAAGAAAATTGGCGTTCCACTCGCTTTCCATCAATATTTATTATGTATTTTCAGTGTCGAACCCAGCCTTTTTTTTTTTTTTCTTTTCCATTTGAATGTAATTGGTAGGAGAAGCTATTGCGTGCATGCACTTAGCCTGCAAAAAGCCACGGCCTTTGGTTGCTGCTTCCTTCTCTTACAGAAGGCATTTGCTGTGCTGTGGGTTATGATCCCACAAAATGAAGCAAGCGAACCTTCTGATGAGATGTCATCAGTACAGGGTGTGTGTAAAACTTGATGAGGCAGGTTAGGCAGCCCCAGCAGTACTTCAGTTACCTGGACATAGCTAATGCAACTTGGTTTTTAGGACCAAGGATGCCAGATCAGGATTGGGATATTGTATATGGAATGTAGTAGAGGCCTTTTAATATGAAGATGTTGTGGGTGAGACTAATATTGCTTGGAGACTCTTTCTTTCTTCCTTTCTTAAATGTTTTATTTATTTATTTCTGAGAGAGAGAGAGAGAGAGAGAGGGAGAGGGAGCGAGAGAGAGAGTGAGCAGGGGAGGGGCAGAGAGAGAGGGAGATACAGAATCTGAAACAGGCTCCAGGCTCTGAGCTAGATAGGACAGATCCGGTCGCAAGGCTCGAATCCATGAACCGTGAGATCATGACCTGAGCCCAAGTCGGAGGCTTAACCGACTCAGCCACCCAGGCACCCCACTTGGAGACTCTTTCTAAGATGACATTTTAAAAAATGTCAAGGTCTTTATTCAGCAGACAGTAACTTAGAAATAGGGTTGATTTGCATATTTGAGAAACTGTGAACTTGAAAGTTGAATTGATGGACGAATTAAATAAGAGGGAAGAAGCCTGAAGAGCATTCATTAGGTAAAATGCAAGGAAAGCTCTTTAGTTTATAAAATTGTGGCTATTAACTTTACCCTGAGTATTTTTGGAAGCATCAATCATCATTCATAAATTCACCCTAAAACATTTCTTAAGCAACCCAACTGTACTTGTAAAAATGTAAAAAAAGCCAAGTGATTTTTTTTTTTTTTTTGGCTTTTAAAAACTCTTTTCTGCTACTCTTGATAAGTGTTTAAAACAGATTTTTGGATAATGACATTGTGTTCTTTACACAGGTTCTTAGATGTTCTTAGATGTTGTAGTGGTCAGACAATGCAGTTAATTTTAGTACTGGCATTATAATAGGGAAAATGAAAACATTTGTATTAGAGTGAAATGAATTTAGTTGGCAAATAGTGATGGGATTTTAAAAAGCTCCATATGTGATCATTTATACTTGTTAATAGTGACGTTTTATTGGAATAATAGTTCACTTCAGATCAGTGAATATGGACTTTTTTTTAGTTGATCTTAGAAGCGATGACTCTTTGGGAGTGCTCTGTTGGTAAGTAATTTTTACTTTCAAACACAAGTAAGTAGACAGTGTGGACATATTTCAGATTTTAGCTCTAATAATTGCCCCCTACTTGTGGGTAATTTATGCAGAAGCAGTTTATCTGGTTATGGTTTTAAAGCTGCAGGTAAAGTAAATATGTTTACCAGTTGATTGAATTAGTTGTAAGAATGATTATAGGTAGAAACCTGTATTCTTTTTTGTTTGTTTTTATGTTTCATTTATTTCTGAGAGAGAGAGAGAAACAGCATGAGCAGGGGAGGGTCAGTCAGAGAGAGAGGGAGACACAGAATCTGAAACAGGCTCCAGGCTCTGAGGTGGCAGTCAGCACATAGCCTGACGCAAGGCTCGAACCCACAAACCGTGGGATCATGACCTGAGCCGAAGTCAGATGCTTAACTGACTAAGCCACCCAGGCGCCCCTAGAAACCTGTATTCTGAAAGAGGTTTCTAGATGGTCAATTCCTTTGTAAAACACTAAGGAATTCTTTGAGAACAGTGAGAACTTCAGTTAATTTTATTAAGATAAATAGTATTTTAAAAAGCCTATCTTTATGATAGAACTTAAAGGCAAACATCTTTTAAATACTTTCTCAGTTGTGCCGTTTTAAAAAAAGAATAGATGGCAAATTTTAGGAATAAAATACCAACTATTTAATGTTGGTAAACTATTTAAGTTGCCAAACTCCTTGAACAAGAAGTTTTCTCTTCTGCTGGTTTTGTCAGAGGTGAGAGCTCTATAACAAAAATGTGCATAGAAAACAAAAGTAAAAAACATGTCCTCATTAGTTTGAACCAACTTGTAAAAGTCAAAATCAAAACCAATTATCTTTAAACTTATATCTGTTGGGGGGCGCCTGGGTGGCTCAGTCGGTTAAGCACCCGACTTCAGCTCAGGCCATGATCTCACGCATAGTAGGTTTGAGCCCCGCGTCGGGCTCTGTGCTGACAGCTCAGAGCCTGGAGCCTCCTTCAGATTCTGTGTCTCCCTCTCTCTCTGACCCTCCCCTGCTCACGCTGTCTCTCTCTCTCTTTCTCTCTCTCTCTCTCTCTTTCTCTGTCTCTCAGAAATAAATAAAACATTAAAAAATTTTAAAAATACACTTGTGTTTATCTCTTACTGAATAAACAACCAAAGCAATTTCTTTGAAGAATATGAGCATGGAAATTGTATTCTTTCTGTGATTCTTTGCATAAAATGAAATTCCTAAAGCACATTTAATTTAGTTACTTTATTTCACAAATGATTGTCATCAGAAATTTATTTACAGGATGATGGAAAATGTGGCCCTTCCCTCTTCAAATATAATGATGCTTGGACATTTTAAAATACTTCAGAATGAATTGCAGAATAGGTTTGCTCCTACCTCCCCCCTGCCTTTATTGTGTAATAGTAGTGTTAGATCCTGTGCTAAATGCTTACTTGTATCATATCATTGAGTTCTTATATCAGCCTTAAGTGTCTGAGCCTCAGTTCACAGATGAAGAACTAGAGATAGGAAGATTAAGGACTTGCCCAAGGTCACTTAGTTAGTAATGGCAAAGATTTGAAGTTCCGTGATTTAAATTTGGGTTTCCACATCGTAAGTCTTATTCATTGATTCTATTTGGTTAGCAAAAGTTTAAAATAAAATACATAGTTTAATCTAATGTGAATTTTTTTGCTATTAATAATCTGATTTAAAAATCCTTAATTTTTTTCCTAATTACAAAAAAATTCTCATGACTGCCCTTTGAAGGATCACTAGTTAAGAACTTTTCTAAAGATGCTTTTGATGACATACTACCTGCTAAAGTAAACAGTAGCTCTATGATAGGGAATCAGGTATGTTTGTGTGACACTGCAGTTTTCAGCCAAAGAAAGAATGATCTTGAATAAGTATAAAAATTTCTCTAAGCCTCACTGTTCTCTTCTATAAAAAGGGAATAGTTATAGTAGTTGTCATATAGAGTTGTTGTAAGAATTAAATGAAATATGAATGCAAAGCATTTAACACATTGGTGTTTTATCATTAGTGTTGCTATTTCTCATGCATCTTTAAAGCACTTGCCTCTTTTTCTTAAAGTCTTGGTTACTAAAGATGTGCTTCATATTGGACATGGAGTAAAGTTCCTTAGTAAATTTTATGTTAGAATTAAAGAATCTATAAATAAAATGGGGCCTTTTATCCAGCCTCTGACCTAGAGGAATTACCTGCAATATCTTTTACCAGTTAGTTATTCTAGCCTTGTAAAACTCTTAAATGACTAGATCCATTCCATTTTTTTTACTCTAATTATTAAAAAAATTATCCTTTTATTGATTGATATCCACCTCCCTGTAATTTCTTTAAAACATTTTTTTCCTTAGTGTTACTTTTGAGAGCGAGAGAGAGCGAGAGAGAGAGCGAGAGAAATAGAGCAGAGCATGAGCAGGGGAGGGGTAGAGTGAAGAAGCACAGAATCTGAAATAGGCTCCAGGCTCTGAGCTGTCAGCACAGAACAACGATATGTGGGGCTTGAACACGTGAACTGCCAGATCATGACCTGAGCGAAGTCCGATGCCCCTAACTTCCCTATAATTTCTAGCAGTTGGTACTAGTTGGCAGTGAAGCATAGGTGAACTTGTTATGTTCATACATTTCACTAATCTCTTTTTCCCTTTCTTTGCATATTCTCAAATTCTGCAGTGACTCTTAAAGGTGGTGAGCAGAAATGAACAAAATGCACTAGGTATCAACTGACCAGTGTAAATATACTGGGAATTGATACACTGTTGAATTTAAAAAAACAGATTACATAACAGCATTTGTAGTATGATCCTGTTTTTTTTTTTTAAGAAAAAAATGCATGAAAATTTACAATGTGCCTTAAGAAGTCTAGATGATAAACACCAAAATGTAAAAAATAGTATTCATCCTTAAGTGGTAGAATTGTGGATGATCTTTATTTTCTTTTTGCTTATCTACATTTTCCAATATTCTAAAATGAACATGTATTAATAGCAACTACTTAAAACATTGAAATTATTACCTCTTTTATTATTATTATTATTATTATTATTGTTATTATTATTATTATTAACTACCTTAATGCAGGTCAGTTTTTCTGAGGTATATAATGACATTGGCTCACATTGAGCAAATACTCAAAACTTCTAGGTATTTTTTTCAATAACTTATGAAGCAGTGGTTTTCCTTTCATATTTATGAAAGTGTTGATTGAATTTAAATCATTGCCTTTACATTTAATCTTACTTGTTTTAGCCTGTATTTATAATCTATCTAAATCTTTTTGACTCTTGAGTCTATCTTCCAG